TCCGGCCCTTCTGGAACACGGGCGGCGAGATGGGCAACTGGGACGAGGAGCTGATCGCATTGCTACCGGAGACGGTCAAGATCATCGCCAGCGCGGGGGCCGGGTACGACTGGGTGGATGTGGAGTGTTTAGCGAGATACGGTATGCCCGCCCCGCCCAGTACGGGTTATATGGATTGCGCTTCACCCCTCCCCTACCCTTGACCCCGTGCCCCAACACACACAAAGATCAACCCCAATACTAACGACTGGGTGATTGAAGGGATAACCTACTGCAACGGCGCCGCGGCGTCCAGCGAATCCGTCGCCGACGCCACGCTCTTCCTCATCCTCTCCGTCTTCCGAAACCTGCGGTGGGCGCACGCGGCCGCGCACAGCCTCTCGCCCGTCGCCTTCCACGACGCGCACACGCACTCGCCGCTCACAGCCCGGAACCCCTCCACCCAGACGCTGGGGATCGTGGGCCTGGGGGCGATTGGGCTCACGATCGCGCGGAAAGCCCGCGCCGCGTTCCCGGGGATGCGGATCGTGTACCACGATCTCGTGCGCAAGGCGCCCGCGGTGGAGGGGAGTATCAACGCGACCTTCAGCGAGACGCTGGACGGCGTGCTGGGGCAGGCGGACTGCGTGGTGCTCGCGACGCCGTTCGCGGGGCGCACCGTGATTGATGGGGCTGCGCTCCGCAAGTTCAAGAAAGGGGGCAGGCTGGTGAATATCGCGCGGGGCGGGTTGGTGGATGAGGAGGCGCTGGTGCAGGCGTTGGAGGAAGGGCGGATCAGCGCGGTGGGCATGGATGTGCACGCCCGGGAGCCGGCGGTGCATCCGCGGTTGGCGACGGATCGGCGGGTGATGATGCTCAGCCATAATGCCGGGGGCACGGTGGATACGCATGTGGGCTTTGAGCGGTTGGCGATGGAGAATGTGCTCGGGTTTTTGCTGCGGGGGAGGGCGCTGACGCCGGTGAATGCGCATTTGATACAGAGTGAGAAGGGTGAGAAGGTGAGGAGTTTGTTGTGATGATGTTGTTGATGGTGGATGGGAATAAGGGGGTTATGGGAGAAATCTGGATTATTGTTCATCTTCTTTTTTTCTTTTGGCGGCTCTATAGGTATAAGTACAGTACAGATACGAACATGAAATCAAACCTCTGGCCACACGCTATCCGACGCCGATTGATTAACACACAAGCGCACAGCGCATCCATCCACATTTAGGTGGTGCATCACTCGTTGTAGTGGTATACCTAGAATCGGTTAGCACTTGCTTCTACAAGTCATCCGGGCCCTGGGGGAAGCACATACAAAGTAATCCGGCAACCCAAACACCTCGTACCCCAACCGCTGCGCCATCTTGGCGAATCCCTCCGTCTCTACCAGATGATAGAACGGAAACGCTGGGAACATCGCCCCGTCGCGGTGCACGTCCGCCTTGACCATCAGCGCGGTCCCGCCCACGCCATCCAGCCGGATCTCCCGCCCCGGTTGCGGGTAATCCTTGTTGGCCAAGTAGGCCATGAGACTGCGGTAGGTGGGCAGCTCCGCGTAGCCCTCGAGCAGGATCTCGTCGGGCCCCATCGTGTCCGCCAACTGCTGCGCCGTGGCGCTATCGATCCACGAGTTGAAGTCGTACGGCCGGACGTCCATCTTCTTGGCGTCCTTGTTGTAGTAGCGCTGGAAGCAGTTCGGCACGATGACGGGGCGGTCGTGGCCCGTCAGATCCTGGATGAGCGAGGGGGGCGTCTCGATGATGTCCGAGTCCAGCCACAGCACCCACGAGGTGGCGGGCCCCAGCGTCGTGAACAGCAGGCTGTTGCGCGCCAGGCTCATCGACTCGCGGCGCGCCTTCTGGTTCTCCAGCTTGTGCCGCTCCTTCTCGTCCTGCGACTGCAGCGGCGGCTCGAAGTCCTGCCGCAGGATGCTGACGCTGGCGAACCGGTCGGCCACCGGCCCGTTCTGGGTGACGCTGATCGCGTGCTCCAGCGCCGCGACCGCCGCGTTGCCGTCCTTGGTCTTGGGCACGATGAACCCGACCGAAATCAGCTCGTGCGGGTAGCTCAGCGCCACCACGTTGTCCCAGTATTCCTGGTAGAACCGCGCCAGCGGCGTCAGGATGAGCACCCGCTCGCCTTTCCGCGCGGCGTCGCTGGTGCTCGTCAGCGCGTTCAGGTTGTAGTGTTCCACCGGCGGCGCCGCGGCGTGGCCATCCTCGCGCACAGCCTGGGATTTGAGGAAGGGTTTCGTCGGGGGTGACAGTGGATGCTCGGCCGCGTCTTCACGGCGGAGTTGTGAGGAGTCGAGGTCGGGGGGTGCATTACCGGCGGCGGCGGCGGCGGCGGCGGAAGGGGATGGGGAGAGCAAGAAGCACAGGAAGCCGAAGGCTAGCAAAGCCGCCAGTAGCAAGGTGATGGGACTAGTGCGACGCATGTGGCGTGCCGCGGCCATCATAGCCAAGCCCGGCTCAACTGCACAAAAGATTAATTTGCGATGGGAGTTGCAAGGGGGATTGTCGTTCCTTTCTCGTATTCGAGGGATTGCAGGGAAGCAAAGTAAGCGATCAAGGTGGTTTTGCAGCGGTCGGTCGATTCGGAGCTGGGTCGACGAACAGGATTCGGGGGATCCGGTGGCTTGGTCTGGGCCCGACAGGAAGTAGGTGCGGTACGAATTGGCAGCGGAGATTTAGCCAGCAAGAGGATGGAAAGAAATCACCAACCGTGCCCCAAACATACTGTAGAGAGTGAGTGGAGAGAGACTGGTGGGGTTGGGGAGTGTGGAGGGAAGGAGGGAGAAGAAAAGGTGAAGGAAGATGCGATGATGGAAGATGTGGTTTAATGGCAGGCTGCCGGGAAACGAAATGGACGCGCGGACCGAATCCAGTGCTCGTTAAGTTAGTTACTGTGTAGGTACGGTAAGTAATCTGCTAACTTAAAGATCTGCATCCAGCTAAAAAGATGCCAAGCCAGGCTTGTTCCCAGCCGTTGCATTGGGGCCAGATCGCGCCGCATGCGGCCGTTGCACTGCAGAGTGAACTGCCATTGTTGCCATAATTAATTAATTCATGGTTCTATTCGAGTTATTCTAGAATGTGTCTAGTCTAGTCTAGTCTAGGTAGTGTCGTTAAAGCGCATTTATAGTACAGTACTCCGCGTATGCTATACGTATACCCATTCACGGCAGCGAACGCATCACCCCCTCGAATGCAACCAGAGCCATGGCATTCGCCGGGAATGCTCGCAAGAAACACGGTACAAATCCCCTCCAGTATCCTTTGAATCCTCGCTCGCGATACACCGCGACCGCCGCATCTTTCCACCGCCGGAACTTTCGCTCCCCGTCCCCAAGGGCCCCGCCCATCGGGTCCGTCATGAGCCGTTGCTTCACCACGTCCGACGGATACGAAGTCAGCCAGAAAATCTGCGCCGAGATTCCACCCGCCCAGAAATTGATCGCGGGCGCCGACAGACTGGTCTTCTCTTTCAACATCCGCGTCAGAACATCGTAAGAACCCCACCAGAAGAAAAAGAACGCCCGGAACACGATCGTGGCGCAGAGTCCGCGATAAAGTCCCGAGATTCCATGCGTTCGAAGCTACCAGAAACACAAATGTCAGCACACTTCCCGTGTCCACGACAACACCAGCAGCGCATTGAAGCGGGTAGCGAGTGATTATAGCCCTTACCAATTTCCGCACGCAGTCGATCGGGCCCGAGTACATGCGCTTCGTCTTGTCCGCCGAATACTGAATCTGCAGTCGCGCTTTGACGTGTTCCACCGGCGCCGCGATGAAGCTGACCGTCGTCCCCGCCATGATGCCCGCGATTCCGTGGCCGAAACTCGGGAGGGTGGTGGGGTCGGTCTGGCGACCGCTGAACGGTGTCATCGCGCGTATGTGCGGCTTCGAGAAGACATTCTCGAGGAGTAGGCGGCGGTATAGCGTCAACGACCCCAGCATACTGAACGACGATGGGACATGGTCAACATCCGGTAGTCCTGTGGTTTAGGCTTCCAAAATTATCACAACAGGACTTACACCGAATCCATCACCATCCATCCGACCAGCGGCGGCGTGGCTCCTTTGTATAACCCGCTTACTCCCTCCTTGCGCACCGTCTGTAGTACACAATCGACCGGACCGCGGAAGTGTGATTCATGGCTGGTCTGTAGGCGTACTTTGACCGTATCGAACCTGCGATCGTTGATCAACAATTAATTTTGCGGAATGGGGTTCTCGGGTGGAGGGTAAAGAAACGTACGGATGTCCAACTAGGAAGCAGCAAAGGCGAATTAGTTTGTCTCTTCTAGCAGCGCCAAACGCGGATACTTGAAAAATACGTACCTGTTAACTTTGCGATCCCGGAGAACACGCCCGCAACAAATCCCTTGTAATCGCGCTTCGAGCTCGTAGAGGGAGGGGGCACCCCGCTCTCTGTGCCGGCCTTGGCCATTTTCTGTGAGGAAGGGCGCTCCGCCAGACTGGTTGTTGGCGAGGCGACAGGGCTAGGATTTGACGACATGGGCGGCGGATGGTTCTGAGTGTGAGGGGGGTTCAATCTTCGAATGTAAGGCCAGTGAGGCAATTCGAGTGGCTGCACCTGGCCGACAGGTATAAAACTCGATCGGGATGTGCGTTGGGGGTCCGTTATCGGACTACAGGATTGAGGATGGGCTAATAGATTCGAATGTCGTCCATGGATTGCGAGAAAGACAAGGAGATCAATATCACAGCTCGAAGTATCAGTAGACAGTCTATGCAGTTCCTCTGGGGTTGGAGGGAGAAGGGATGCAGTCGTGGGGAAAGATGAAAAAGATGGGGGAGACAAATAAGATGAGGAACAATTGATTGAAGATGCGGCCCCGCAAAATCCGGCGGCTCGGGGAGTTGCAAGCCAGCTCCGGGCGGCAAAACTGCCGGTCGACACCTCGGGGTGGCTACTCCTTCCGCATCAGTACTAGTACATATACCTTACGGTGATAGTCGTCTCAAGACCAATGATCGATAAGGATACCAATATCAATAGATAAAATGCTTGGAACATTGATCGCGGTCAATTTCTATTCCTATTCCAGTCTAGCCACGAGGAAGACAGTCTGTTTCTGTACAGCCCCCGGTAAAGTGAAGCTGAAGGTGAAGTAGATGTTATCTCGAGAAATCGAGATAACTCCGAGAGAGGAGAAGATGTAGGCAACGGTAAAACCAGAGAAAATTCGTGTGTAACACAGTAGCCGAAAGAAAAGAATTGAAAATGTCTGGGTTTGGCGATATGGGGTATAGGCGCATGATCTCATAATACACGAGAAGACAAAAGAAAATGAGAATGAAAATGCAATATGGAGGAGGAAATCAATTTCTCACGATGATGTGGCTGTTCAGTAGCCCTTCAGCCCTTTTCTGGCCTTCTGCCGGGCCCGCTCGGCCTCGCGAGCGATGAGCTTGTCCACTGCATCAGGCGCCGGGCCGGAGTAGTGGCTTTCGCGAGCAGTAGGGTCAGTGGTTGTGCCCGAGCCCAGATAGCCACCTGCATCCTCGAGTGCGAGAGGTGTAACTGGTCCAGGGCTGTTCAGCGGGTCGAGACGTGGTGCAGATGGACTGGGTGAGAGTGGGCGTGAGGGAGCTTTGATAAGAATGTTTCCATCCGCCAGATCTCGCCACATGGAGTCGCGAGAGCCGGCTGACGCACGGTATCCGTGCTGTCGGGGTTGTCGAGGTGATGGAGGCTGCGCAGACAGGGTCTGAGAGGTTCCAGAGGACTGATAAACAGCGGGATGGAACCGTGGCAAGCTTCCCAGATGAAAGGCTGGGGCTGGTTTGGATGAGTTTCCGCCCCGGGCGCGCGATGGCTGGGGGGAAAGAGGGCGACCAGCTGACGACATGGCAGGAGTAGCGACCGGCGCGTACAATGTCGAGCTATCAGAGCGCATTCTGGACGGTTCAGAGAAGTGTGAACGATGCCCTGGACGAGATGGTCTTGTATGGGTTGGCTTATCACGACTTCTCTCGATGTGCTCACGGTGGGCGAAGTAGTAGCCCTTGTCAAAACGTCCGGTCAACGGGGTCACGGGAAAATCGTGATCGTGCGTGATATGGGATGGCTTTGGTATAGGTATCGGACGAGAGGCAGAGTGGTTGAGATTGAGACCCGCGAAATAGTCTGTGGTTTCCGAGACGGGTGACTGGGGGGACGGCGGACTATAAGTCGACGAGGTGGCCGTTAATTCTTCGAGGGATGACAACGAAACTCTGGTGGGGTGACCGTGTCTCGCAATAAGAGTCTCTAGCTGATCTCGGGCACGAAGACTAGAGGGACGTTGGGAAGGCGATAAAGGCAACGAGGAAAGATTGGCTAAGAGCACGCGATCAGCATGAATCATTGGGAATGTGCAGAACAAGCGCAGAGCCAAATGCCACACGTGTCCGGCGGGGGTAATCTTAATCTCTGCCCACAAGTGAAGCTGAAACAATGGAAACAGGTCATCGAAGGGTCAGTTGGGATAGAAGAAGAATGCAAGCAACCCAAAGAGGAGAGTGCATTCCACTAGTACTGTAGAGGGGGGGTGGGAAGATCTGCTGGCACAAGGTGGGGCAGAAGGATGATTTGACAGAAGGCGCACAACGGGCGAGTGAAAGACCGAAGTCGAAGAAGAAGGACTTACCACTGGTCAATGGTGGGGAGTGAATTGAACTGTAGGAGGAGGACGGATAGAGAGAGGGCAAGGAAGATGCAGATGAGGAGGAGGCTGAGGGGGAGGAAGGCGGAAAGGCAGCCATTGAGGGTTTTATTCTGGAGATTTGATTGTCTGTCCCTTTTCGTACCGTAATTTTTTGGGGGGGTTTCTGTTCCCTGTTCAAATTAAATCCCGCTTTTTTTTTTGTTCCAACCAGTACCGAGAGTGGGTTCAACGGTTCAACCGATGGGATGGGATGATTTGGATCCAGGCACCCCGGATGCCTTCTCCTGACAGCGGCTCTTCGCTGCCAAGTCAGGCAACCGACTGACTGTTTTGCCTGATGGTATTCTCTATGCGGGGTCCGTTGTTGTTGTTGTTGGTGTTGTAGTTTGTACAGTAGATGTATTTGAGGTTGTCCCAGGATTACGGATACTATTTCGACTTGGATCTTGTCCTCGACCGAGGGGGGGAGGAATTGTCACGCAGGGGAAAAAAAGAAAAGTTCGGGTCTGTGTCTAAATTGATCGTCAGCTTGCGGGGAAACTCAAACAAAGTTGACAAACGTAAGAAAATCAAGACCCAAAAAAAGCCCATGGCGTCATGGCGGGAGACGCGGGAATCCATTGTTGAGGGGCAGGCGGGTAACTTATGGTACGGTATGTATGCATCTTGGATCATCATAAAAGGGGGGTTCCACTTCTTTCCGTTGTGCTGCTGCTGCTGCTGCTGCTGCTATTGCTGCGATCTGCCCTCCTTCATGTCGAAGGATGTACTCTCCATGCCAATAGTGTTTGTATGATTCAGGGAAGTTGGCCAAGAAACAAACGAGAGATGCAGCAGAAAGGAAAATCTCATGCACGACCTACCGATCAAGTTCCTATCTCATTTGGGTGTTGGTTGCGAATCGCATCAACGATTGGTTCCTGTGGAACCGACGGGCGCTAGTCACAATCGGGCTAGCCTTCAATGACTGGCTCCGAGCTGGTAAGATTGGAAGGTTGTGTAAGATGAAAACAACTTTGTCGATGAAAGACGCCAAGTTGGCTCCGGTTATTGGAGTACACAAGCGAGGAATGGTAGGTAGGTAAGTGAAACAACGAAGAGGGGAAAGAAGAATGGTAGGTGAGGCTAGTGTGGGTGGTAAAATGATGGCTGGTCACACCTCATGTAAAACAAATATTTAGTATGGTGGGAACAATAAGGAGGAAAGAATAGGCTGATTGACAACGCATGAGGGGGTCTTGGCAGGCCTGAAAAGGATTCATCGGTCGTGTTTCAATTCAAGCAGGTATCCAAATGAGTATGTAGGTACAGTACATAAGTGAAATACCTCAGGCAGCCAGGCGGGGTTTGACTAAGCGGAGGCAGGGCGGCGATTAAGGTAAGTGAGAATAGTGAATATGTACAGTACTTCGTACTCCGTGCAGTACTCGTACTTTGTAGATCGTTGTCGGAGAGTTTGTACGACAGAATAAGTGGCCAGATTACTCGTTCCCTGCATGGGGCTCGGATCAGTTTATAACCTTGGAGATTGCTGCGGAAGGATCCATTTTCCTCCCGCCTGATGCCTCCTCGTTCTGTCGTTAAAACCTGCTGCAACCACACGCGGGAAACTCGGGTGACCTGACCTGTTAGTTCTACCACTATCACCAAGAATAATCTGAGTCAGGACACCGCTTCATCTACAAGGGTGAAGAGTGACTACAGTGGAAAAATCGACGATCTCTCGCGCCGCCCTTAGTCTGGCCGACCGAAACCGTTTGGTCTCAGGCGAGTCTAGAGTGAGTGACTAGCTTACCTTCTCGTTTCGTCCAGGTTGGCTCGTTCTAATCACATCCTGATATCAGTACCACCTCTGCCGATCCAGATGTATTCAACCTTGAGAGGCTATTGGCTGCCGGGGGCTATCACACATTGTTTGTGGCTGATAATGAAGATGGTGAGAGAGGATCATGCAAGCCATTGTCCATTGTTGACAACCCGCGACGACATCCGCGTGTCGTAACCCCAGATCCGAGCAGTTCAGACTGCACAGTCGATCTGCAGCTATCTGTGCCACTATGGACTGGGTTATCACTTCGGACGGGTGGGGAGGACGGGACTTAGGGCTGGAACTTTTTTCATCCTTCTACCAGACTCCTAACTGGGTTGAGAGGGGAGGTTCGATTTGATGGTGCAAGGATATGTCCCCAGCACCATCAATACCGGGCAAGCTTAAGAGAGTGTCTTGCGTCCGACATTCTGAGTGGATGACTGGTGCCATCCACACGGGGCAGCACGATCAGCCGACTTGAATCAAATCCTCCCCTCCACCACCGGCTTGCGCGCTTCACATTACTAATTCAGCAGGGCATCTTCAATAGTCCTGAGTCGTCACCTTTTAAGAAACAAGTCTGTGAGTCACCGAAACCTCGCCCACAGCCACCTCTAGATTGGTGGGAAGACCCCGAGTGGTTTATTCTACTGAATAAAGGGAAAGACTGACGCTCATCCATCATCCGCCCGTGAAACTACAGATAAACACCTTTACTGTAACCCATGTCACTACTCGTAGAGATTCGATCAATCCGGATGGGCGGAACACCCTTGCCCGAATGCGCAGGCATCCGCATAAAAAACCTAGCTCGCACATCAAAAGATCGCCCTACCACAGGACCTTCGCAAAACTTCTTGTAAGAGGATAACTGGTGTCTCTTCGGGAGATCGACTAGGCTGAGGAACCCTAGCTACAAGGGCTTCTGATGAGCTCAAGTATAACAATACATGTATTGATGACTCCGACACCGATGGAATCACGCGTCACCGAGGCAATCTATTTCGCAACACGCCACACAACTGTCTTGTCCACTGTGACTGGAACTGCCCCTGCCCAGCTCATCGATGCACACTGCCCTCCGACCTGCGTCACTCGCTAATGTTACGCTTTCTGTCACACCTTTCCGCTGGAACTAGCTATCAAATAATATACATCGCCCCTCATTCATTGGCGCCCTGGAAGATCGTTTCTGCAGGTCGCCAGATTCGGGAACATGACCATGTAAGTTGCTTGCCTGCCTCCTCGACCTTCTCTACGGAGCACTCCTACCATCAACTGGAGTCAGTTGCGCAGTTCAGTATCGGCTTGACTTGAGTAAGTTCCAAGTTGCCAACCCCACACACAACCGCGGGAAAATAGGCCAACCATTCAAATCGTAGGACAATCCCCGCCCCTTCCCCCACCCTTGCAGGCGCATTCCCTCGGCGATGATTAGGTAAACCATCTTTTAGGTGGTAAGTTAGTGTGTTCATCATCCATACAAAGTAATACAAGTAAAGTCCGACATTCAAGTCCCGAGGACCTGCACTAGTTTCGCACCCCTCCTGGAGGAGCAGGGGCCACTTCGCTTGTTCCTGTGATCAATTCTGATCCCGGCAATACTATACCTAGTCGCGTCATAAGCCAATTGCATGCACTGGAGTGGATCAACGGGTAGGAGCGGATAAGCGGAGAACGGAAGTTGATTGTGGCTTTGACACTTTACCAAGGCCCCAGTCCATGGTAGCCAATTACTCAGTATCCAGAGACCAGAGCCATACGTATAACTGTCTCAATTGCATTCATGTGCGATGACGGAATGGCGCGTGGTGCTTTCTTACCTGAATATAGACATTGTAGTCTTTTGCTCCCCGACACGGCTATGAGGTTTCACGCTATGGGGAATATTGTTCTACTAGTGCTGAGAATTATTTATCCTGCCTGTTTATCCATTGAGGGAAGTATGCATAACTCTTTCATAATTTTCTGGTGAAACAATTGTGCACATGGTTCTGTTCATTTCATCCTATGCAGGTGTCTTCTGTCTTTGTATGGCGTCAGGATCTGTCGAATCGCTGATTACCTACTATGTACCAAAGAATCTCAGGTTTGTGAAAATGACTGTATGGCGTATCCTGACCAGAAGGAACTGCTTGCAACTACGACCAGTGAGTGCTAAAATGCCTCTCATGTTGAGAACACGGGAAATGAAGGATATTCTGCATCGCCTCAATTAGGCCAGCATCTAGAAGTGCTGTGTGATCAGAGATGGTTTATGGAAACATTGATATTCTGCCACCCGCAGTCACAGTAGTGTCAGTACTCATACATATAAGTGCAGATAGTGGGTCCCAATCTGTTTGAGGGTCTCCCGCGTGCATTGGGCAAGTTCAGGGGTGTGCTGCAACGTCAATCTCTCGCTTGCTTCATAAGAGACGTGATACGGACGACAGACTACAAGCCATTTTTGAAAACTGCCTTGACCGTCTACTATGCTAAGGAGAGGTGGCCGACGGGGATTAGTTCCTTTGGTTCAAGTGTGTTTGTAGTGATGGCCAGCATTGATTTATGATAGATGCGGTTTAGCTCCGAAAACTGGGCATCCGGTCTCCATTCAATGTGCCTGGTATATTCTTCCTAGTAACTCAATTTGACCTTCGCCTACACCACAACAACCCCTTCTAGGGCTGTCTTAACCTAACCATCCAGTCAACCCTTGATCCACCGGAATACAAGTCCCATTGATCAAGCTTGACCCTGGCCCGCAGGTGATCGAGAGACAAAGATCCGCCACCTGATCGACATCGCACATTGCCAGCTTAGCAGCCGTCATCATATCCATCGCCTTGTCTTTACCTTCCATGTTCACTCCTGTCATGAATGCATCCGTGATATTTGTGTCCATCCCACCCAGCATCAAAGCATTACACCGAATGCCCTTGGAGCCATAGAATGTGGCCGTGTTCTTAGTCAAGCCCACCAAGCCATGTTTGCTCGCCGTGTACGCAGCACCTACAGTTGAGTGTGTTTAGTTACCAATTTGGGGATTGAAGGATAAAAGCACTGACCCGCCGCAAAGCCTGCCTTCCCAGCCACGGACACGATGTTCACGATGCGCCCATCCACCACGTCCCTTTTCAGCATATCCTGCACCGCCAACTTGCTGAGCAGATACGGCGCCGTCAAGTTCACCGCGATCACGCGATTCCAGCGGTCCTCATCTAGCTCTCCGACGGGGTCAAATCGGTCCATGATTCCGGCGTTGTTGATTAGGATGTCCAGCTTCTGAAACCGTGCGACGATCTCATCGAAGAGGGTCTGCACGTCCGACGCGGAGGTAATATCGGTCTTCATCGTCAGCAGTCGGCTGGCACTGTCTCCGATTGCGAGTTCTTTGGATGTGTGATCGAGGCGATCTTGGTTGATGTCGCAGATGACGACGTTGGCGCCGGCTTGGAGGTACCGCGTTGCGATAGTCTTGCCCAGCCCGCCTGCACCGCCGGTCACAAGGCACGTTTTTCCGCTCAGGCTGATGGACATGTTGTTTCAACTTGGGTGATGTCTTCTGCTCAATATCGTAGCTCGAGATCAACGGCGGAGTTTATATACTTTGGGGCTCTTCGAATCGAAACAGTATTTCCGCATTCTGCGTATACGCCTCCCCTCATCTCCTAGAATTCTTCCCCTGATCTAGTTTTCACAGGTGTGAAACTTCGGTTATTAGCCCCGAGGATCAGTCAAGTGGGCGCTTGAGGGGGTGAAGCCGCGTCTTGACGGCCATGGAATGTCGTATTGGCGTATTCGGCTCGTCTGGGCGGCGAGTGGGTCCTTCTGTAGCTCTATGCTCGTCTCGCAAGGAAGGGAGGGATACGCGAATACGCGTGTGGAGATACTGCCAATCTCGCAGCCTGGAGCCGACACATCTGCTGCATGTTTGACAGTCCGTTGCTTTAGGTGCGGGACTTGTTGTGGATAATTTCTTCTGTGGTCATTCCTGAAGTTGACCTTGCTCGTCGAGACCTTAAGTGAATATTGTCGGCAGCCCGTCCGGCTGCTCACCGCCCACCTTGATCGTTTCTGGCCAATTCCTCTGGATAACCTCGCGTAGCGGAATTTATCACTGATTCATGTCCCCGACAAATCCATCCTTATCGATAATCAGTTGTCGAGAAAATGACCCGAGAGATTAAGACGCCCTGGGCCATCGTCGCCAAACTCGTGACATCTCTCTTCTCCTGAAAACTGCGCTAGACCATGATTGATTATGGTTGTGAGTCTGCGAGCTCAATGACGACAGTTCCTGGTGTGAGTACTATCTCTAGGCAAGTCACAGCGGCAATGGTGAAGACCAGGCAGATGACAAGCGACGTGACTCTGAATAAGCTCTCAGAAGTGAGGAAGCATCAGGTGAGTCGTTGCTTGCCTTGTAGCTCGGAATTGAGTTATCCTCGGATTCAAGACAATCACTGACCTTGCGGCAGTTGCTTACCTTTCTATGTTTGGCATGACACGGTCAAGACATCGGATTCGAGCCCTATGATAAACATTTTCCTCGGCCATTTCACATTAAATGAGTGGTCTTTCCTCCATTGAGATTGACTCTGATATCTGGGACTTCCCCGCGTTCAATCCGTCTTAGGGCGATTCTTGTGGATCAATCGGTCTTGAATGCACATCATGAATTATTCTGGTTTAGCTCAGACAGGGTCCAGACTATGCAGAATCGCGCATTCCCGGAGCTTTTGTCATCGAGCGACTCGATGTAACGCCGATCGCCGAGAGATGGCCATAAGTATTTGCGTTGTGGTAATCATTGTGTGTCTGATCTGATTTGCGCCTCAATCAAGGGGCCTCTCGGCTTCTGACGAGCTTGGCTTGTGAGTGGCACCACGGAGATGAGAGTAATCGGTAATCCGTTCATGAGACAATGGCGGAATATTCTACATCTATTGAATGAGGAATCCTTGTTGTCATGATAAGCTTATCATCATGGGATGGCTGTTACACAACAGGATGACTTGGAGCGCAAGGGAGGTTGTGCTATTTGTCCCTGACTCTTAATGCTCCACCGTGCATCGCGAGAACCTTCTCTTTTGGGTTAAATTGCAGCCACCTGCCGGTTATCTTATCGCCCCCCGATTATCGCTTCCCCAGTTTCATCGGCATTGGTCAAGTATCTACCAAGTTCTTAGTGAAACAGGCGGCAATTGCAGCCCTAATGCTGTCTCAACATCGTGCTTGCCGGTTGATAAATAGGTAGCTCTGCTACGCTCATCCCTGAGTGACTAGCTGCTCCTGTTGACTACATCCACAAAGCATAGTGAAGATGCTTCCACAAGATGATGAGATTCAGCAGATTCCCCCTGCATCGGCGGGGGAAGATGTTCGTTTGGAGCATTTAGGATACGAACAAGGTATGGATGACCAATGACGATAGTCCAAGACATGCTGACCATCTATCATCATGAAGAGCTCAAACGGTCCTTCGGGCTGCTGGGTATGATCGGTTTCAGTTTCAGTGTAGTCACCTCGTATGTCTCGGTCCTCCCAGGGTTATTGTACGATATCAACCTGCTAACTTGACGGTCAGCTGGACGGCGCTTAGCGGTGTCTTTATCGTGGGAGTGACCTCGGGTGGTCCACCTGTCATGGTTTTCAGTTTCATTGGAGTCAGCCTGCTCACCCTTGCCGTTGCCATCCCCATGGCGGAAATGTGTTCGATGTATCCAGTGGCAGGAGGTCAATACTCGTGGGTTGCGGCATTAGCACCTCCGAAGATCGCCCGGGGGCTGTCATATGTAACCGGCTGGTTCATGCTTATAGGTGTGCTTGCTCCTTTCGTGTCTAACATCCAACCCATATCTAACCAAGAACTGTCGGAAATTACAGGCCTCCTTGCGATGGGCGCGACCAACAACTCTATCGCCGCCCAGTTTGTCCTCGGGATGGCCAACCTCGTCTTCCCGTCCTATGAAATCCAACGCTGGCAAACGGTGCTGGTCGCCTATCTCGTTGCCCTCCTGGCTGCGGCCATCAACATCTGGGGCCCGCACCTCCTCAACCGCCTCGCGCGCTTTATTCTGATTTGGAACATTGGCGCCTTCTTCATCACAATCATCGTTCTCCTCGCGACCAACGACCACAAACAACCCGCCTCGTTCGTCTTCGTGAACTTTCAAAACACCACGGGCTGGGACAAAGCGATGGCCGCAATCGTTGGCATCCTGCAGGCCTGCTTCGGGATGTGCTGCTATGACGCGCCCTCCCACATGACGGAAGAGATGAAATCGGCCTCCAAGCAGGCGCCGCAGGCGATTATCATGAGTGTGGTGCTGGGCGCCGTCACCGGGTTTGCGTTCCTGCTGGTGCTCTGCTTTTGCATCGGCGACATCACCGCGACTGCCAACTCGGCCACGGGCGTCCCGGTCATCCAGATCTTCTATGATTCAACCGGCAGCAAGGCTGCCGCCTGTGTGCTGGCCAGCATGATCGCCGTGATCGTCATCGTGGCGGGCAACAACATCCTGGCTGAGGGCTCGCGCTGCGTTTACGCCTTCGCCCGCGACCACGGCCTCCCTTGCAGCACATGGCTGGCCAAGGTGGACAAGAAGAGACAAGTCCCGGTGAACGCTGTATTGTTGACGCTCGTCGTGCAGCTGGCGCTGGACGCGATTGATTTCGGGACGAGTACTGGCTTTGAGACGGTGATTGCTATTTCCACTGAAGGGTTCTGTACGTTGCTTGTCTCTTTCTTCTGCCCTCCTCACCCACTTTCAACATTATCACAGTCAAACTAACCCTCTGACCCAAACACAGACCTTTCCTACGCCACCGCCCTCGCCAGCCGCCTCCTAGGCTACATAACCTCCCACCAGAAGACAATGACCGGCCCCTTTGCCCTGCCCTCCTCTCTCTCCATCGCTCTCAACGTCCTCGGCCTGCTCTTCCTCCTGTTCGCCTCCATCACCTTCAACTTCCCCACCACCTACCCGGTCACCGACGATTCGATGAACTACACCAGCGCGGCTATCGGAGTCATCGCGCTGATCGCCCTGGGGACGTGGGTGAGCACCGGGCGGAAGAACTTCACGGGGCCTGCGGGGGGTGCCGCCTCGCAGGGTATGGTGGTTGAGACCGGGAAGGTTGTGGAGGATGTGGAGCCAGAGGGGATCTCGGCGGAAATGGAGAAGAAGGGATGAACTTTTGCGTATGGTACATGAGTCATTGTTTGAGTATCTATGTGAAACTTTCGATGAGAATCTGCTTTGCCGGTTGTTTTTATGTGTAACCTAATTGTATTGCAAGTGGTGCAGTGGTAGTCTACATGAAAGCGTTTAGGATATTTCCCGAAACATACCTATGTCTCGGAACTGACCCTTTGGCAGATTGACCACGTGACGTTACAAGACTTGTGTACTTCCTCCCTGGCATAGTGCTGTTGCTGAAAAATTGGGTCGCGAGTCTAGTTCATTGATGTCTACGAAAGAAGATAATCTATGACTCTAGTAGCACCTTTGTTCATTGATACTGTAGGCGGGCCACTGCTCTGATCGTCTATGTACTGTACAATAGACGTGGCTCCGGTCAGAATCGATCATTTTCATCCCAACCAAACTGGTATCCCGCGAAGTAAGTAGGGCCGGACATTGTTCATATGACCCAAGACAGACACAGACACTTTTAGCCCAACAAAGAACCCCCGAAGAAGAAAGAAGAGGAAACTCAACGCCATACTCGCCAAAATGCAAAGAGAATTTTGTATCAGGACACCCGCAATCATGACCGGCTCTTCTCCCACTTGGTGATTCTCCGCTTCAGATCGCCCGCGGTCTGCTGCATCGGGTTCAGTCTCCGGTCCCGTGCCATGGCGGCGTAGTTGTCGCCGTGCTTCTCCACCAGCCGCAGAATCCACTCCTCCTCTCTCTTGCTCTGGTGGCGGGGCTTCTTGGCGGCGACCTTGCGGCTCTCCAGGTCGGCCTGGAGCTCGAGCTGCCGGACGATCTCGCTGTCGGCCGTCTGCTTCGGCTTCTGTTGCGCACCCTCCGCCTCCTCGTCGTCCGACAGATCGTTCAGCGGGTCGTTCAGCGGGTTGCTGCGCTTGTGCTTGCGGCCCGCCACCTCGATCTCGTCGTCGTCCTCGGGCCGGATGACGCGCAGGATCTTGCCGGTCTCCGGGTCGCGCTCGACGCGGATCTCGCTGGCCGCATTCTTCTGCGCCACCGCCGTCGCGCTGCTCTTGATGTGCAGCGAATCCTCCCGTTCGCGCGCGACGCCCCCCTCCTTCGTGGGCCGCTTCTCGGATCCTCCCGTCGGCGCATTCAGGCGGTGCACCAGCCCCAGGTTGCGGTAGTTTTGCGTGAGGGTTAAATCGCGGTTCCTGTTGATTCAAGAAAAGAAATCGCGTGTTAGCTGTGTGTGTTGCTGCGCAGGTGGGGGGCTGTGGAATGCTTCTGCATCGAGGGAGAAATCCCCCGTCGCGGGGATAAGTGGTTGGTTCGTACCAGTTCTCAGCGATGATGGCATTTCCCAGAACATTGATCTTCTTGCGGCCATTCTTCAGGAGACCGGTGCGCTTGGCCTTGGCCTTGGGCAGACCGGAGCGGTTCTTTCTCTTCTGGCGCACGTTGGTCATGGTGTGTTGATTTTGATGGGGGTTGGATTGGTTGGTTGGAGTGAGTGTCACTTGGCTGGCTGGCTGCCTCAAAAAAAAAAAGTTATCGGGCCTCCCGAAAACTTGTGAAGGCTGTTTGCATTGCTCATCTTGGCATGTTTGTCTCCCGATTGATAAGGAGAGCAAAGATCCGGAGATCGGGGGTTCCGATGAGACCAACACGCGCTCGCGCCGCCGCTTCCTCCGCTAAGGTGGACTAAGGGTCTTCTTACCTACTATTTAAATTTCCCCCCTCCCCCGGTCAGCTCAGCTCTACATGACCTGTCCATAAACCTGCTTCTTCTGTTAATTGCCCCGCTGGATCTCCTCACGGTCATGGTTTCCACTGCGTCTCTGCCAATGCGTCGCATTGGCTTGGCTCTTGCCGCTGGGGTAGTCTTGTTTTCTGCTTTGGCTGTCGCTCAAGATGCTATCTCCGTCGGAGAGCTGTCCGCAGGGGAGATCGAGGATGAGTTGCAGGTGAGTTTGTCTATCTTTCGTGGCTCCCGCCGGCTTTCCAACTTAGCCATACACTCGTGATTCATTTAGACCTGACACGATTTTCAGAAATGCCCCTTGGTCGAGTCCCTCAACGAGCATAAGCGCGCCACGAGCCCCCAAACCACCAGCCTGATGTCCAAGATCTTCGCGGTCCTGTTCCCCGGCAGCCCAGCGGTCAATGCGATCCTGGCCACCATCTACATCTCTGGACCTCCCAGTACGCCGGCCCCATCTCCTTATCTCGATCCCCCCAGCTGACATACAAATACCTCCCGCAGACTTCCTTCTCGCCCTGTGCCCCCCGAACATCGACCCCTCCTCCCTCTCCGTGATGGTCGCCTTCGCCGTCGGCGGACTCCTGGGCGACACAATCTTCCACCTCCTCCCCGAGATCTTCCTGGGCGAAGACGCTCCCGACCACGTCCGCTTCGTGATGGTCGAGCCGAACCGCAACCTCCTCCTGGGCCTCGGCATCATGGTGGGCTTCTTCACCTTCGTCGCCATGGACAAGGCTCTCCGCATCGCAACCGGCGGCCAGGGGGGTCACTCGCACTCGCACTCGCACGAACACGAACACAGCCAGATCGCACCCTCCGCCACAACCACGAGCAGCTCCGCCACCACCAACACCACCACCAGCAACAACGTCAAAAACCGCAAACCCGCCGCCGCGTCTCCCCCATCATCCTCCACTTCCCTTGTTGCTTCGCCCGAACCCGCCACCAGCACCAGCATCAAACTCGGCGGCTACCTCAACCTGATCGCCGACTTCACCCACAACATCACCGACGGCCTAGCCATGTCCTCCTCGTTCTACGCCTCCCCGACCATCGGCGCCACCACGACTGTCGCCGTCTTCTTCCACGAGATCCCCCACGAGGTCGGCGACTTCGCCCTGCTGATCCAGTCCGGCTTCTCGAAGCGCAAGGCCATGGGCGCGCAGTTCGTCACGGCCATCGGGGCGTTCCTGGGCACCTTCATCGGGATCGCGGTGCAGGAGTTCGGTGGGAATTCTGTTGCTGCTGCCACCTCTTCCGCGCCAACGGCGGGTCTCCTCGGCACGAGTCTCACCTGGGGCGACATGCTTCTCCCCTTCACGGCGGGGACGTTCCTGTACGTGGGCACGGTGTCGGTCATCCCCGAGCTGCTGGAGACGAGCGGCAGGGACAAGCGCACGGAGGTGAAGCACATGATCACCCAGTTTTTGGCGGTCGCGGCCGGGGCGGGGATTATGTTGTGGTAAGTTACTCCCCTTACTCTCCTTCTTTCCTTCTGCAAATTACTTCCGAAGATTTGGTGACTTGTGATACTGACGGTGTGGTATGCTAGGATCTCCTGGGATTGAGGTTACGAGAGCAGAGATTGGGATGTGTGATGTGGTTTACGTGATGAGGGGATTGTATTGTTTAGATCATGCTCGCTTTTGGATGATTCAGGTGTAGACTCGTAAAAAAAGTTAAGGTTCTGAGATGAAAGTGCATGCGCAGTCTTTGATGACATTGGTAATTTTTCACTGCCCACCGCACACTTGACGTAGCAGGGCAGTTCCTCCCATCGCCCCTCTTGCATGCTATGTGGCTCGTTTTTTAACCATAATTCAAGACATAGGTAAGCGCTATGGTACCAGACTAAAGAATAGCAAGAAGATAGTCGAGTCAGTCCTCCTCATTCTCGGATCGTTATCGTCACTTCAGGTGCCGGGGATTGTAGATCCAAAACTCAATACGACTACAGGATGGATAGGGGCACCGAACTCCATATCCTCCGCCGTGGGCACCTGAATGCATGCCCACAGTCTCCGGTCCGCGTCACCAAGACGCCCGGCCACTCCCCACCCCCGCGACTGAAGGTGCCGGTAGATATCTTGTGACGCGACCGTCCAGGTAGCACTTCGACACCACGGACACTGCGAACAGAAGGCAATGCGCGGAGGACATCAGGTTCCTCAGCTGCAGGAGATACGCCACCATGCGGCGGATTTCGCTGGCCAATACGCATAGTAGTGTCGATGAGACGGCACTGAGCGTCGATTGGGTACCGTCCTGGCACAGCGTCCTGGTGTGGGAGAATGAGTCTGCGGATATCGTCAATGCCACGATCCAGAAGAGCAGAACAGTTTTGGCCGCGGCTAGATTTGGCGAATTCGTACGGTGGCGGGTGAGCGAGGCCATCTTCCGGGCAAGGTAGTGGCTGTGGATTGGCAGGTCGCAGCCACGCTGGAGTCCCAGGGCACAGGAGGTCGCGTCTCTGAGGAGCGGCTCTCGCTCAACCCATCAGGCAAACATGTGCGCAGCCTTTCTATCAGGTCGAGACAGTGTTGGAGTAAACATCTGGGCGGCTGCTTCCTTACATTCGGAACGAGGCTGGCGGGAGATTACGTCCAGCCTTTGTTGCAGCCGCACGCTTTCAGCAAGCAAAGCGAGCATCGCGTCGAAGGGTCTCGCGGTTCTGTCTCGTGTCAGGCACTCCCGATCCCCGTCGGTGGCCTTGGACGGGCAGGTCGTGATGCAGAAAAGCCCGCACCTGCTGTTAGCCCAGATGAAATCGAAGACAGCGGTGAATTCCGCCCCTTTGGGCTTACTGCGGCCAACTTCTGTCGAGTAATGATTGTCCTGGTCAGCTCTCGAACGGGATGGTCCCTGAAGGACCTATGATCGAGAGCCGCCGTAGCGCCCCGTGCATAAGTCAGGCAATTGTGCAGAGAAGCTTCGCCCGTTTGCGTTGTCTGCCGGTGGGGTCTGTGTGTCAATCTCCCCTGCCCAAGTGCATTTGTGTCTTCTTCAGATCAGTCACATTACCTCGTAGGTGTGGAAGACGATGGTCGTGTAGAGTACGTGAGGCGTCGGTGGGAGCCTCTGGCGGAGTATCCACGCCATCACCCTCAGCGCATCGCTATATAATTCCCCGCCGTAGTTCATCAGCGGAAGATTGTTGGCTTTCTGGGCCGAATGCGCACACGAGGGTCATGATAGACCGGTCTAGAAGCGCCGACTCGCCGCTAGAGATGGAAACCGCGCGATGAGGAAGTACCAGCTATCCCCCCCTCGCGTTGAGATCATTGAGATTGATATCGGACGCGAAAGAAGGTGTTTATGAAGGTCGAAAAGAGCTGGGTTCGGACTTCAGTACCCAGATCCAGAGGCGCCGGGAGGGCGAGCGGTTTCAATTGTCCGAGCATCTGGGCTACAGGCCTTCTGCTTGTCCCGGAAGCATCGACTCGAGTAACGAGGGTATGGTGAAGGAAATGCCGATTCGTCTCGTAGCCTAGACATAGCGTTTCCCTCTTGACGCATCGTGCACACTCGGGCTTCGCAGGGTCGCACTAATCAAGGGTGACTGGGTTAGTATTACAATGTTTGCAACCCAATGATAGAAGGAGTGGACGAGACTGCACACACATACTCTGACCCTCCGCTGTCTGCAGGCGGTGCAGCCCCGAGATTGGTAGGGTATCCCGCCCATCGGGGTATGTTGAGTCGGGGACGCCCAAAGAGAGAGAGGGGGGCAATCAGGAAGTAAGGCAAGAATTAGGTTGGTAGTATCTGATCTCACGTGGCTAGGAGTCAGGTACGTACCGTCCCACAAACTCGCGCATTCTGCTTGGTTGTCCTTTTATTAGCAATGGTTGATGTGGGATGTGGCGCAGGGGAGTTAAACCCCTCGGGACTAGTAGTGCAACATGAAGATAAGCCTTGGGCTATCATCACGCAGTGCGGGGTGGGTAACTTAGACCACCAATCCTTCGGTCTGGATGGCCACTGTTTTGGTTGGATCCCGAGAACCATGTGGGGAGGAAGAGCAAACCAAGGGGTCGAAGGTTGAAAGTGGTAGGTAGGTAGTAACCATTAATCCATGGCATGGCAGCAGCAATCAGACCCAGGCTAAGTCAACTTACTGGCTGCGAACAGTTTGAAATTACTAGTAATCATCCTCATATTAATCCAGTTCTTAGCTAGTATTGTACTTTATTGCAATATCTTTCATATCGGCCCATAATATACAAAAATCCGCAGTCGAACCAGTTCAGCTTACTTCTATCTCCGAACGTTATTCATAACAGAAGAACATTTTGGACAGTGGATCAGTTATCAATTCAATTCATCCCCACCAGACACTACGGTTAGTGATGATATATCTGGATATATACACCTCACACATCAGATGACTCACGAGGTTGTGAGACAGGGACCGGGGTTCTGAATTTGGCCAGGCCATTGGTGTCATGCTGAGAGACAACCACCCGACCATAAAGCTCCTGTGGTTCCTGGCACTGCGCCTCCTCCGGCCCAGACTTCCGGTAACGACGGAGCAAAAGCACCGAGACTTTCTTGGCACGTTCCAGGGTCGTCGGCTCCCATCGATCGATCTTGCGAACACGCAAGTCATTCAGAATATTTAGCAGCTGGACTGCACTGGGCGTCGCGCGAAACCATTCTTTCCGCCTCCTGCATACCTTGAGAACCACGACTAAGAGGACAACAACGAGGTGCTGCATAAAATTAGGATACCAACAAGGAAAGTAGAGGCTCAGAAAACACTCACGGCCCCGTATGCCATGGCGACCTCGGTCACTGTCGCATGGGAACCCCACCATGTTGCGCTGGAAAATGCGAAGATCGCAATACATCCAATCAAGCCAACCCAGGCCTGTACGGGTTGGATGACCAAGAGAGACCCGCGAGGTGAGTATTGCGGGGAGTCTCGAATAAATTCCGGGCGACTTGAATGCCGGAGTTCGGGGTCGTGCTTCTTCAGCCTGCCGCGATTGTGAGCAAGCCAGCTCTACTCGAACCTGCACATTGAAATCTCACTGACCAGTAATAATAGCGAAGAAATGCTAGGCAGATAGCTGCCCATACAATCATGATTGCGTTGCTAGCTGAGGTGCTCACCACTTGAACTACCTAGAGAAGTTAGTCAGTCAACACGATTCGAAAAGTGGAAATGCGGATCATGCACCTGCTGCGTGACAAAGCCATTGTTGAGTCTCAAGAAAGGCACCCAGCAAAAGGCAAGAACCGTAGCCAGCAGCGCGCCCACAGGAACCCGAGTTCCCTGGCTCAGGATGCTGAGCTTCTTCGTGACCCAGAACTCTCTGGGCATAGACCTTACAATTCCATACAAGGTACGCGATGCAACATACAGAGAGGTGTTGGCCGCTGAAAAGGCGCTGAATAGCAGGCAGCCGTTGAGGAAGCCAGCCATGGCCTTGCTTTTGGCATTAAGGGCGGCAAGAATTATCATGCTGCTCGCTGAACCAACGCTTGATGTTGCTAAAAAGGTGCTCTCTTGCGTTCCATCATGAAGTCGTGGAAGGCGATTGTCATTCCAGCTGACGGTAAGGATCTCGCCCACGGTGCACATTATGTATACAATCACCACGACGTAAGATATCCATCTTGAAGGCCAACGAATTGCGTGTGCGTCACGAGCTTCAAATGCTGCCATTGCATATAGCTCAATACCCTGAAAAGCATAGGCGGTGATCGGAATGGCGAAACTAAGCTGTGAGTAAGATGCTTTCAAATTAAGAAGGAACTCCAGCCTACCACGCAGCATGGCCGGAATTCTCGAAGCCCATGCCGGCCTCGAACTTTGGAGAGGAAACTGCAATGTGTGAGTATGGAGTAGTGTTTTGATTTGAAGAATGCAACGTACCATCGGCGATTCCCTTGGTATCGCCTTGGCTACAAGGTCAGCACAGCAACATCTGTGGCACATGAGGGCCACTAACCCTTTCCCGCAATCGCATAAAGATAGATAGAAATAGAAACAATCATTATAAGTTTCAGAAAGCCGCCGATCGTTTCTACTATACCATACCACTGTGTACCGTGTGTCAATTAGCGCAGGGTCAAGTGGGATGAGCGAGGTAACTCACAAAAACACCAGTTAAATTAAGCAGGAGGAACACGATTGGAGCCAGGGCGTAACATATAAGCGCCCGCCAGGTAGTTCCTAGCCCCCAGTATGCTAACAGCGACCCTGCCATACTGTTCTGGCTTGCAAAGGAAGCAGCATACGCATACCTTCAGGTCTTGTGAGCGCTGTCACTGTAGGGAGATGGGTCAGCTTGTACGTACCAATAGACCAATCCGATTACCCAACCAAGGTCGTCATCAACGAAAGTGCGAACGTATTCAACAATAGCATTGTATACCGGAAACTGTTGAGTAAGCTCGGCAACGCACTCATTGACCGAAAGAACGACAACACTCATGATCAACGCTGCAATAATCAAGCCCAAAGGGCCGGAAATGGCAAGAGCAGATCCATTGTTCACAAAGATTCCACTTCCAATCACAGCGCTTAGAGTGATGAACTGGTTGGGAGTCAGGCATAATTAAGCTACTAGATGAGAATTGGGTGCTCACAAAGATCTGGAAACCGAAAAGCTCTTGCCTGAAGAGGAGGTATCAGCCTTGTGTCACAATTAATCCATTTGCAAGTTAAAAGGCATACTTGAGTCTTTCTGGAGTTTGCCTTCGAATGGGCATTGCAGGAAAAGATACACTGGACTGTGGTTATGCCAGCGGCAGAACGAATGAAGTAATGTCACGTCAAGATAGAAAGCGCGGCGGCAAGGGAGATAGAATGACATGCATCATGGATGGAGCAACATTCAAATCAACAAAGGCTTACTGTACCATGGTGCTATGACTGTGAAAGGACCCTGGGCGCTTCTGACCAGGAATACAGGGCACAGCTGAGCCGCAAACAACCGAATGGGATTGGATTGGCTGTTGATAAGAGGGGCTGCGGAGCGTCTGCAACTCACGAGCCCGGGGCGCAATCTTCGATGATTGTTTTCTTTTGCTGTCTAGCGCTAAGTCTGATTGGTGAGAAGAGCCAAGAAACACCATGTTTTCCATGAAGGAAGTGCATTGGTTGCTGACTCGTGTATGCGACCAAGGGTGTATATAATCACGGTGCCGGAAGAGAGGGAGGCAGTGCCCGGACTGCACGTTGTAGCCAGCATCTGACACAATGGCGACTTCCGATAAACTATATCAGCATGTACTTTCTCCCGGCGTCTCCACGTATATCGAGATGGCCGCCGATATTGTGGATTACCTGAAGCAAAGATATGGAGACGACATCACGACCGAAGTGAAGGTAAGTCTGCGTTCTAAACAGACGTCGTGAGTCCTTTGGACGCTGATACTGAAGCGGCAGTTCATTCGTCAACGATGGGTGGTATGGGTAAATCTGAGGATGGACGAGGCAAGTGTTCAGCGCTCTGTGTGACTAGTAAGGTGGGCTGAGCTAACCTCGGCTTGGGCAAAGGATGAGTTGGAGTAAGGCCGTTCCCATAATTCTGCCTTGGGTACGGGACTCGCTGACAGGAAATGAAACACCAGACAGATGGCACTCGAGCTGAAGGAGCGCGACGAGGAGGAGTAGGTGGCCAAGTGTACGGAGTCCTGTACTGTACTGTACAGCACTAGGTTGAGGTGGCGCGGGGAAATGGGAAGGAGGCGAGGTTCGTGCGTCCGGCTGATTTGGGAAAGGGGAGAGAAATCTGCCGATGAATCCTGGTGGCTGAGCCTCACAAGGCCAGCCAACAGACTGTGAGACTGTGAATGTGAATGAGTGACAATGACAAGGATTGGCCTAAGACAATCAAGGCTTAGCTGCATCGCACCCCGATCATCATCAACTTGTAATCTGGTAATCTGTGATCTCGTCACACCACTGCGACGAACCGGGTTTATAAAGAGATAGATTCTCGCTCTATACTCTCCTCGTCCTAGACAAACTTTTTGTGAATTCAAGGTCTGAGGAAGGATGACAGGAACCGGACTGCATACGGATGTGTGGCATGGCTATCTGCAAGAGCTGCCCTCGCATCACAATTCGACTTCTCTGAATGTGATTGCTTTGGACAAATTGCTCACCACTCGCGTTCCTTCAGTCCTCACATCCAGGGAGGAAATCCGCGTCCGAGTGACGGATGTTAAGAGCGATGGCAGTGATACCATCCTCTGCGAAACCTCGGAAGCCCTGCAGCGGGCTCTGGCGTCCGACGATGAGGGGTCAAGGATCATGTATATTTTACCCTTACATTTGTCATCAAGTATAGTCCATTGTTAACCCAATAAAGCAGTTCTATTCACTCGTCCGATTCAATCACCCCCTTAAGAATCTCGCCCAGGTTGCTGGCGTATCTATTACAACGATATCACGTCCACCCGTCATTTATCCAGGTGCTGCTCTCATTCGGAAGCAATGTCAACGTTTCAGAAGCAGGGAACAGTAATCTGTATGTTGGTGGGGACGAGAAAAACTCATGTACGTCATCATCGCATTCCTATTCCTTACTCCCGCCTCACAGGGGCTTATGTGAATTATTGCAGACATCACATATCAGATCAACTATGTCGAAGAAAAACAGCATCGGAAGAATCTGACTTGGTCGTGGCGCCATACTGGAGTATACCATCATCACTCTCGCGCACAAGGTGGAAAAGCGTTTGATCTCTTCATCCTCC